CCAGCGCCCCCACACCGCCCCTTTTCATTCTACTGCCCCCCTGAAAAATGAAATCGCCCCCTGGGGGGCATTATCACCCACGTTAAGAACCACTGGTTTAGGCTGATGAAGATTTCCTTAAACAAAGGTCTCGGCATGGTTGAGTGAGTTTAGAATAACAGTTGAATGGAAACACCGAGCAGTCTCTGAAAGGTTGCAGAACAAAGTACAATTTGGAGATTGAACTTTCATTTTTCTTCTTTTATTACATATAAAACAAAACTAAAAAAAAACATACAGTGTGCTCCCCCCATCAGGACCAATAGAGATATTCTATTTCTTCCCTTTTATGGAGTCCCATTCCCCTTCCAAAAATACATTGACTCTTGAGAAGGCACACACAACCCTTCCCCTTTGTTAGCACAAAATCAACAAAGTCTCCCCATGTACAGTATCTCTAAATATATTCTTATCCAACAGTCCTTTCTTACTTTGATATTACTGTACATGTCAATTTATCATTAATAGCTATATTCCACACTTCTTTATATCAGTCTTTTAATTGGAGACTGCACTTAACTTTCCAATTCTTTGCTATTATTAATATAATTACTGCTACCAAATTTCTAATCAATCATTTCATTGTCCAATTCCATTGTTCACTTTCAAATATCACTAAAAGTGCTATTTTATGACATATTTCTAAATTTAGCTTTAATATTTCACCTCTCTCTTCAAAAACCAACTTCCAAAACTTTTTTATGCATTCGCATTCCCACCACATATGGAAGCAGGTTCCTTACATCTTTGACATCTTTTGGAATATTTTTCTCCATACAATTCAGTTTCACTGGTGTTAAGTACCATCTCCAGACCAATACATAATTTTTTTTATTCTTACATACATATTTTTTTAAAAATTGTTCTATATATTCTTCAACTTCTCCCAAATCAGCTTTCATATTTTAACAAAAGACCCAGAACACGAAAGCAGCTTTCTTTCATGTATTTACATTCTTTCCTTGACTGCGGACGAAAGCCTCTGAAACACAAACCATGTAGGTTTGTGAAAGAGGGTTGCATGAATGTATTATTCTTTTGTGTAATCTTTCTTTCAACATTTGTCTGTGAAATCACCTAAGAAATTTTTCATCCAATGGCATTGCAAGGGTTCCTATTAGCAGTCAATCAGAATGTGGGGAGGGGGAGGAATTTTGAATCTGTAAAAGAACCTGAAACCAATGAATGTGCTCTTGCTTCATTTGTTTATTATAGGAAGGATTCCTCAGTGCAGTACTCCTGGTGCCTTCTATCTTGGAATGTCTTTGCTGCCTGCCGGACTGCATCTCAATCTTGGATCGTTTCTTTTTTTGCTTTTTCTTAATTGGGGGTGGTGGTTCCCCCCCTACTCCTTTGGATTATTGTTGCTCCTGCATGTGCCCACTTGGGATTATATTTTAAATCTCTGTTCCCCAAATTTCTTGGGATTCCCCACTTCCCCATTTGTTTGCTTACTTGTTGTGTTTTGGGTTTTTTTTTTTTAATTTGTTTTTGGATCCTTTCCTTTCCTGGAATATTTCTGCTGCTGTCTGGGCCTGGCATGCCTGATGCTGCCTGGCAGACTCAAAGAAGAGAACAGAATGCATCGAGTGATAAGGGAGAGAGAAATCTCCCATTATTAAAAACTTTTGTTGAGAGGAAGGCTTTGATAGCACCTTTTTGGGGGGGGAGTCTTCATTTGTTTGCTTGCTTTACTTGGTTTTTGGAGAGTGGTGTGTGTGTTTTTGCTTCTCCACCCCCCCCCTGCCCAATGTGTGTGCGAGGGGATGATTTTCCTGTGTGACTGATTTTTAAAAATCTGTTATTCAATGAACTTACTGTGAATATTTTGGTGAGTTTGTTTGGGACTGTTTTGTTTGCTTCTCTAGAGCCACTTGGGCCAATGGGTTGAACTCTTATGACTCTGCTCATGTGACACTGGTCTGTGTGAGTGGGAGTTTCCATCAGCAGGGCAAAGGTTGAAACCTTTCTCTCTTGTTATTCTTGATGTTATGTTGTTGATGGTTACTCTCTTAGGCATCCTTCAGTCTCGAGAGACTATGGTAACGTGCTCTGTATCGAGGACTTGGAACAGCGTCTAGTGTGGCTGAAAAGGCCAATTCGAGAGTGACCATCCCTTCCACACGGAACACAAATACAATTTGTCCCCTGTCCAGCTCCCTGATTTTGCTGGTTTTGGGACTGCCTCTTTGCCTCAGCCTGCTGAACAAGTGTCTCTTCGAATTGGGAGAGGCCATGAAGCACCGCCTGCCTCCAGGCTGAGCACTCAGATGTCAAGGTTTCCCATCTAGCTTGTGGGTATATCTATGTGCTAGCCACCCAATGACTGGCTGGCTAGCTGGCTGCTTCCCTGCCTTTTTCCTATTGTGCTTCCAGGGCCAATCATACCGTTGTTTTCAATATGATAACAGAAACTAGTTCATGTATAAGTCTGGTGATGATTTTTCTTTCACAAAGTTGCCTTGTGTTTCCTGCTTTTGGAGCAGAATGCTTCTCTCTTTTGCCTTGCCTCTATTCTTTTGTTTATTGGTTTTGTTTTGCTTTTTTGCAGAAATTTTTAAAAAAGTGCTTTAGAGCTTTCTGGAGTGCCAGAAAAAACTAATGGGGAAACACAAACAGATCACCCAAAATAGGCTTTTATCTTTCACATAAAACAAACGCACTAGAACAAGAAAATACAGAAACAAAAAAGGCCCTTGAAAGAACCCCAAATGAAGTAATATCAAAGGTTTCACTGTGATCATTCCTAGTGAGGAATATCCAGTTAAGCACTTGTTGCATTTTAGTTACGTTATCAATCTGACTTGGAACAGGAGGAATACAAGCAGAACACAAGCAACACACAAAGAAGAAACTGGGGACAGTCATTAGAAGCATAAGACCTGGAAGGGAAGAGCCTCACAAGTTTCAGATTTTACTTGAGCCTTGCTAGCCATCCTTAGCACAACCCCAGACTCAGAAATCTGTTAAAACGCAAGAAGGGCAAGTCACTTGTTACGCCCCAGCAGCCGACTTACTGATATTCCACTTGCTGCCGTCTTTTTGCCAAAGTGCTGAAGAAACCACTGCCAGAATGGAATGCTCGCTACTGCTGACACCTGTGAGTGATGAGAACATCATGGGAACATGGAAGTGGAAACATGTTTTAAAGTGTTCAATAGGACTAGTTAGGAAGGTGAAAAAATACCAGCATGAGGCAGAATCGGAAGAGTTCCACAAATCACAAAAGATGGAAGCAGTCAAGTATCAATCTAATTATATTGGGTCTCCCCAGGCCGATTTCTAATGCCAATTCAATAAAGATGAGTCAAAGATTTGACTGAATATCTAGCAACTAGTGTTTTCTTTTTCTTTTCCATTTAGAAAAGCAAATCAAAGCAAATAAATGTACATTTTATCCAACTTCCTAGGCACAATCCAGGCCATTTGCTGAACTGATTACATGAAATCAGCCTCTAGTAACCCACTGCTTAGCACTGTGTCAGGTTGAAATAATGGCATGCAAAAATAGCGTTAGAAGCCTATGAAGCTATTAAGAGTTCCCCTCCAGTTCTGAATGACGTACTAGTCCACCTCCTTTCTCATGCAGAACTAGCCTTCACCAGTAAGAAGTATTGATGTCTAACGAACATTTAAAAATTTAGTTTACGCTTACCTCCTGCTACTTACTGAAGAATAACTGCTGCCAGATATAGTCATGCTTTTCAAGAAGTAAATACTAATTCATGAAAAGTTACGCTGTAATAAAAGGTGTTTACCTTTAAACACGAATTCAAGTGAATTCACAGCTTTTCCAGTTTTCTAGGCACAATCTAGATTGTCTGCTTTTTTTAAAAAAATTGCTACAACAATAGGCTAACATGACCTTTCCTTTGGAAATTAACACTTTCATTTATCCAGCAGCTGGATGCTATGCTACAGAGAGAAAAAAATACATTTCTCCGTTGAATTGCATGGATCTGAGAAGCACAGTTTTGGTTATCTGCTGTTTTTCAAAATAAATAAAAATAAACATTTAAACAAACATTCAATAAATACTGTGCTACTATTCATCTCCAGGAAGCAGCCTGAGAGAGGTGTGTTTTGGACTTACCAAGGCAGTG